CCTCCCTCCCTTCCTTCCTTCCTTCCTTCCTTCCTTCTTTTTTTTTTCCTTCCTTTCAAGTAACCAGATTGAGAAACTATTTTACCACAAATTCCCGTTCTACAAAAAGTGGGGGAAGTAGTGAGGGATATAGTAGAGGTATAATAGAATTGAGTTGTACCTATTAATGGTGGTAGTAATAGCTTATAATCCCATGATTTCATATGTTTCCCTTCAATTCAATTTTTAAAAATAGTTGGGTGGTGGGTTTTTGTTTGTTTGTTTTGCTTTTGTAACTGTAAATAGAAAATTGGAAAATACAGAAAAGTAGCTAGAAAAAGAAAGATCATCTATAATCCCATTACCTAGAAACAATTACTGTTAGCATTTTGGAGTGTTTATATTCTTTTTCCTATGCAAATTGTTATATAGTAAGGTCATAATATATATTTGTTTGTGTTTTTCTTCTTCTGTTTATCATTACAGCATTTGTTTTTCCTTTTTTTATCCAGTTTTATTAAGATAAAATTGACATACACCCTGGCCCACCACCATGGCTCAGTTGGTTGAGCATTGTCCTATGTACCAAGAGGTCCCTGGTTCAATTCCCAGTCAAGGCACATGCCCAGGTTGTGGGCTACATCCCCAGTAGGGGGCGTGCAGGAGGCAACCAATGGATGTTTCTTTCTCTCATTGATGTTTCCCTCTCTATGTCCCTTCCTGTCTTTCTAAAAAAACACACAAAAAAACCCAATATCCTGGCTGGTGTGGCTCACTGGTTGAGCGTCAACCATGAACCAGGAGATCCTGCTTTGATTCCCTGTCAGAGCACATGCTTGGGTTTTGGGCTTGTTCCCTGGTGAGGGCCATGATGGAGGCAGCTGATTGATGATTCTCTCTCATCATTGATGTTTCTATCTCTGTCTCCCTCTCACTTCTCTCTGAAATCAATTCAAATATATTTTTTTAAAAAGAAAACCAATAAAAAAATTTTTTTTAAAAACGATAAAATTGACATATAACATTGTATTTGTTTAAGGTATACAACATAATGATTTGATATATGTGTATATATTGTAAAATGATTGTCACAATGAGTATAGTTAACATCATCACCACACAGTTAACACATTTTTTTGTTTTTTGTGATGACAGCTTTTAAGATCTACTCTCTTAGCAGCTTTTAAATATATATAATATTGTTAACTATAGTCACTGTGTTGTACATTATATCCCCAGGACTTATTTATAATTGGAAGTTTGTTACTTTTAGCTACTTCCCCCATTTCTTTCTGACAACCACCGATCTGTTTTCTGATCTATGAGTTTGTTTGTTTTTCACATTCTACATATAAGTGAGATCATACAGTATTTTTCTTTGTCTGGTTTATTTTACTTACCAAATGCCCTCAAAGTCTATCCATGTTGTTGCAAATGGCAGGATCTTCTTCATTTTTATGGTTGTGAATAATATTTCATTATATATATATCACATTTTTTAATCCATTAATTTTTCAGTGGACTCTTAGGTTGTTTCTATGTTTTGGCTATTGTGAATAATTCTGCAGCCAATATGGGAATGCCGATATCTCCTTCCTTCTTATTTTATCAGTTAGAATTTTATATGCCTGGCAGTGTCCTAACTCATAACAGTAGTAATATCTTATACTTAAATAGAATTTTACCATTTTCAAAGCAGTAGCTCTATGAAATAGATCAAGTCAGTATTATTGTAATCTTGGACAAATGAGGACACAGAGGCAGGCAAAGGTAAACCCTACAGCTACTGGCAGAGATGGAACTAGAGTTTAGGTTTCAAAGTGCTTTTTCCACTCTCACTGTGTAAGCTTGAGTCATTTTTCTATTTTCCTGAAATAAAATTTATTATTGGCATTTAGAACAATCATTTGTGCTTAGGTGTTTTCATGATTAGTTGTTATTTCCCTCCTTCATTAGGATGCATTATCATTTTTCTCCCTTCTTGAAGGTCAGGCTTTCTTGCTTTGTCTCCTAATTGTTTCATAGTCCATGTGTGTAGTGCTGTTAAGCAAGTGCATGCAACTCTGCTTCTGCTCCAGGGCAACTAGGCCTTCAGATGTCTGTTCTCTCATTCAGTTCTCTGCAGTTGAGGTGTCTTCCCTTTTTAAAGTAGAAAACTAAACAGCTTGTTCTCTGCCAGGGAATCAGAATGTGTACATTTCTCTCATCCTATTTTGGATCTGTCTTACTCAGATTTTCTCACTAAAAAGAACAGGATGAGCAGCTTCTAACCCACAATCACTAATCCCACAGAAACAAAGTGGGTGGTTCTGCCACACTTGTGAGATAATTTCCCCAGTAACCCTTCAGGTTATTTGGTGTAGAGGGAAGGAATATATTGATTCATTTCTCATTTACTGAATACTTACTATGTGCCTACCAGTCTTCCAATTCATCTACATTGGAAAACTAAGGATATGAGAAATTGCCTATTTCCCATTATAAGAATAGTATCATAGGGATATGTCATCTAGGTACTTTATTGTTTGGTGTGAACTAAAAGAGAAACATCTTTTTGTAATCCTTGGAGTAATTAAATTCTCTGAAATGCATTCTGTTATTCCATTTAAAGATTCTTTCAAACTAGTGAACAGGTTGTTTAATTATCTACAAAGAACATAACCCTTTATAAAATACTAGGAAAATATAAATGAATGTGATTGCAGTTTAAAGAGTAAAGATGATAGACATTTTTATTTACTTAAATTCTATTAAATAATAATTATAAAAGTAACTATTCTTGAGGAGTTATATGTGGGTGAGAATTTTTCTGTCAGGTTAGAGAACAATAAACAAATCTTTCAGGAAAGGGTTAGCCTTTGACTCAAAGAAGCGCAAAGATTTCCATTTTTGCGGGACAGCTTGGATTCCTTGAAAATAGAAGATTTGGATTATAGAAGGCCCAGGGCTTATGAAAGCCCCCATTCTGAGTTATAGAGATCAGATTTTAAAAAAATAGAAGCTGAGATGAATTGTCTTTGTTCTTATAATAGGAAAGACTAGAGAACACGGTTCATACTCAAGTAAAGGGTATGGTGGGAGAATTGTTTTTCACAAAAAATACTCCTCTTGCTGAGGTATCATCTTCAGATCTCTTTGCTCAACTGGATAGTTTGCTGTATATTATGAGATCCTCCAGGACACTAGAATTTAGATTCTTCCTGCTAAATGTATACTTGTTTAAGGGTGGAAGGCAGAAGTTGGTACACCCCTCACAGAGGACGACTTTGGATAGCAGCCACAGCCAAAAGACCCTCACCTCAAGAAGTCTCAGAACTCCAGACTACATACCGTTTTCTTCGTGGGAAAGGTAACCACCATATATTCTCCTATTAGTCTTACTTTGTTGAGAGAAGTCATTGATATTCACATTTTTTAATTTCCTTCTTGTGACTTTATTTTTTTTGGGGGGGCTAAAAGTATGAAAGTGACTTTAAACTTTATGTGTGTGTTTGCTTGTTTAGTGGCAAATCATAGACAGCCATTGAAAGCATTAATTTACCAAATAGTGCAAATAAAGATATCAGTTCCCAATACCAGAAATCAACCAACTAGTCTTAGTATTTTTGTGGTTTTTTTGAACCTCACCCAAGGATATGTTTTCATTGATTCCAGAGAGAGAGGAAGAGAGAGGGAGAGAGAGAAACACTGATGTGTGAGAGAGATACATCGATCCACTGCTTCCTATATACCCCCCAAGAGGGGATCAAACCCGCAACCTGGGTATGTGCCCTGAGCAGGAATCAAACCCATGACCTTTCTGTGTACGCGTTGATACTCCAATTGAACCACACCAGCCAGGACAGTCTTAGTTTTATCTGAAGAATTTTTCTCCAACTTTTTTTTTTTTTTTTTACAGTGAGAGTAAAATGACTACTATAAACTCTAGGATCTTTAGATTGGGAAGAACAACCGCAAATAAGAATTTTTATCGGGAGTGACCCATGTAGGCATTTGCTATTGGATTTGCACAAATCAGAGTTGGTTGACTTAAGCAGTATATTTTGGGAATCACCCCCAGCACACTAAATTTGGATCCTAAAATACACTCTGACCCTTGGGTGTCTTGTTTTCCTTCTTTTTATCCAGATCATACAGTTCTTTTTAAGATAGAATGAGATGATAATTATAGAAACACCTATAAAAGACTTTTTGTTTTTAAAGATTTTTTATTGAATTTTAGAGAGAGAGAAAGGGAGAGAAAGAAATATCGATGTGAGAGAGCAACATTAATCAGCTGCCTCCTGCACGCCCCCTAGCAGGGATCAAGCCCACAACCTGGGCATTTGCCCTGGCCAGGAATCGAACCAGCGACCTTTTTAGTGCACAGATGACACCCAACCAGCTGAGCCACACCAGCCAGGGCAACACCTATAAAAGTTTTTAAGAAACCAAGCTTTAGGAATCAAAAATACATGTTTCCATAAAAATGAATTTCTGTTTTGACTGATAATAACTTAAATTTGTGTGTTCTGACATTCTTAATGTTTTGTTTTGTTTTTAATTTTTATGGGTTTTCTCTTGACACTTATAGCTTCCTTCTAAAACCTATCATCACCAAACTCCAGTCTGATACAGTTGAGTGTAGTGGAATTGATTTGTTTGAAGTGAAGTTGTGGGGTCCTTGAACTTCAGTGGTGTGTAATTTTCATATAACTTAGGATATGGATAGTGGACTAAGCCAGCCATCAAATTTTTTGCTAAAATATCAACAGTTGAGCCAAATGCAGACCTCATTGTTTTCCTTATGTCTACATATAGATAACAGAGAAAGTGGTTTGTTCAGAATTGAAAACAGATTTGTGAGTTCCAGGGTCACAAAGAAGAAAATTTAATCAATCTGTTATTCTTGATTCAGATGTGGAATTTCCCAATGACTATCCATCAGGTTGTCTTCTGGGCTGTGTGGACCTAATTGACTGCTTGTCCCAGAATCAATTTAAGGATCAGGTGAGTAAGAATTCTTCTCTTGGACAGATGCTTGGTTCACCACCATAGCTGACCTATATAGGTCCTTCAACACAGAATATCCTGAAGATAATAAGGTGCTAGCAACTGAATTTGGACATGTGAAGAGAAACATTTAATTAGGAAATATTGGGAGGAGAAAACGCCAGGGTAGAAACAGAAAAAATGTAGTGCTGCTTTGGTTTCTGGTATATGGAGGACAGATACATATACATTTCTGTATAAAAAACTTTTGCCACAATCCAGCTATCATGTATAGGGTCCACATCCCTTAGTAAAAGTTTGCTGCTTTTGGTGAAGAAAGCCTCCATTATCCCGTGAATTATTTCAGTTAAGTGGTGGGAATGGTAGAATTTGTTATTACTTATTCTGGAACATTTGGTCTGGGCCAGAGAATTCATGATAAGCAAATGTTTGACCTCTGATTGCCTGGATTGTGCTAAGTTTTGGGGGTGTGTGTGTGTTTATGTGTGTATTTTTTTTTTTTTTTATCATTCAAGATTGAACTGGCATAACTAAGGGACATTTTTGAACAGCAGAGGGAGCTGAAGGACTTTAGCTTAATTGGAAAACTTGAAATTTAGAGCCCTATGTTTAGACTCAGACTAGAGAAATCCAAAATGGGAAGGTCCGTCCTTGAAGCATGAAGAGTTTTACCTAACAGTACAATTTTCCTATTCTTTGAATAGTCACTTTAAGCAGTAGGGCTTCCACCATTGTGCTTAAGAAAATGTTCTTCAGCTTAGTTTTTCTCAGTAAATTCTTTGCTTTCCAGACTTATTTCCCTTTCACTAGTGTTATTACTGCCTGAATTTTTAAAAAAACATTATTTCTATCTCACCTTCTGTATCCTTTCCTCACAGATTTTAGCTAGTAATTATTATCTCTAGTTTTCTGTCTTTCACCTCCTCTGCCTTTCTCTGATTACTCTATGCATATGAGTACAATGCATGTAATTTGGCATGAATTTTTACTCCTAGCATTTTTTTCTGCTCTTAGCACCTGATCTAGACCTAGGCAAAACCATAGACATGTGGAGGCTCTTCATTTTCCATACCCTTGTGCCTGTTCTATCTGTCTTAGGGGCCCTTTGCCCATTTTTTCAGTGTCTTTTTTTCCTCTACCCTTCTTTTTTTTCTTTCTGTTCTTTTTCTAGTCTAGAAATAATACAAGAATCCCTTATATTAATGTAGGCTTTATAGCTTTAGAGACTCTCAGTTGTTAACAGTGTAGTACAACGTAACTTTTCTTCTTAGGATATTTGCATTCTAAAAGAGGATCCAGGAGCATCTGGCAGTGTGGGTGGTGGTTTTTGGCAAGGGTCCTTCCTTTACTTTCTCATTTGTCAATCAAGCAAACCACCACCTGATGTAAGATCAAATGATTTATATCCCTAGACAGTTAGCCAATCTTCTTTCTGCCACAATTTATGTAGAAAAGGTTGGGAAACTATAATCCTAGTATATGGAGTAACACAAGGCTTACAGAAATTAGAAATCTAATTAACAAAATAGATCTTTGTGGTTTCTCCAGGTTACCTGTCTTTCAGAGTAGCATGATACTCCTCCTTGAGCTGATATTCTGTCTTTTATCCTGAGAAATCTGAGGATAGCACATAGAAGTGTAGGGGTCCTCCCGTATGTTTCTAGCTGGAGGTCATGGCAACTCTCCTTATGAATTTCCCTGATGTGTGACATTAGAATATCCCAAAATGCCAGAAGCCTCTAAGCTTCATTAAACATAAGAATCTCATACTTATTATTCCTGTGGTCAACTTTTATGTGGCTTTTCCCCATTGTTTCTATTCTGTGTTTGAGCGTAGCACATGAATGTATTCAGAATTGATATTAGCCCTATTTGATGATTGTTTATCAGGTAAGGATCTTACTACTTTTAAAATTGTAACTTTGGTATTTGGCTGCTTTCAGAAAATGTCTCAAGCATTTTCTCTCTCTCTTTAGCTAGGGTTCTGTGATGTACGAAATGTGATTGCCTCGTCTGTTTTACCCACCTTATTCTCATTTCTGCAAGAATGAATTGAGAGTTTAGGATTAATAACCCTAAACTAGCATTTCCCAAACAATTCCATGGCGTAATTGTTCTTTGAAAAAAAGCATGGGGAGAAGAGGTGTTGTGAGGTTTCCATGGACACATACATTTGGAAAATGTATTTGGATTAAATAAATTTGTTTACTGAAGAACTCAGAACCCTTAATATGCTAGTGTGTATTATGACTCTCTGATATATATGGTGGATATAACTTGCAGTGTTCACAAAACTTTTTGACCACAACCTGCCTCCCCCCACACACACACTACCTACTTGCATATGCAGAACTGGTGTCTTGTGATGTGTACAGTTTAGGAATTGCTAGTCTGGGTATGTTAGGTTTTCTCTCATCCTCATAGGTCAGCTGACTGAGGAAGAATCATACAGGAGACACTTTCCTGACCTAAGTCTTCTTTCTGCATTTCCACACTCATTTCTCATCACCCAGCTGAACTGCGTTTTCTTTGAAAACCTATGTGGATATAGTAATTTTTATTTCAACTGAAACCAACCTTCTGTGTGACTTAGACCACATTTTACTTCTCCATCTTTTTCCTAACTTTTCTCTTCTCCAAAGAAACTCAGTAACTTACTTCCTAACCTCACATTCTTTGCCTTTCTTTGATTAGTTAAAATATACTAAGTCCTCACTATTTTCAGCATAGTGTGATCATTTAGTTTAAAAAAAATAACAGAAAAGGTTTTATTAGTGGTTGTTAAAAATCAAGAGCACTACACTGTAAGTGGCTTTAAAATATGTGCTTAAAGTGCTTTCCCCTGAGCTAAGAATTCATCTTCCTTTTATCTTCTAAGAATAGCCTGGCTGGCATGGCTGATTTGTGCCAGAAAAAAAAATCCCACTAGACCTTCAACCTCCTGAGTAATAGCAGGGGATCAACCTAGACAAGGTAGGAGTGTTACAAAAAGTGCTGTAGGCTCAACTCAGGAGACCAAGGTAGATGAGAGCCATCTAGTTAAAACTTCTGTATTCCCCTGGAAGGAGCCCATGCCGTTTGCCAGCGTTTTATCTGCCAGCAGCAGATGTAAGCTCTCAAAAACAGCAGGGAGGATGTTAACTGCAACAATGCATCAAGGCTGCGGTTTGTAACCTCAATAGTAAGGCAGTTAAAACTTTTTTTTTAAACAAAGACATTTTGATTGCCAAATCCATAACCATTAGCAGCTGTGGTTTGAACAGTTCTCTAGACCTAACAAGTTTTCAAACAAAAAGTTGAGTTGGTGGCTTTTGTTTCTACGTGTCTGTGTTATGTTTGTGCTATTTATATCTCTGCCTTCAATAGAAAATCTGATTTGTCTGAAACCTCCAAGGTCATTGATTATTCAATTTCTTCTGTACTGAATCCATTTCTCTCCTGCCAGCTTACTGACCCTTTAGTCCATTTGATATTATGGTTTTTATAATAACCAAGACCCTATCTTTAAGGAATTATGATGAAGCAGTTCTGTGTGCCTATATAATTGCATTAGCAATAGAAATGCAGTCTTCCAGTGGGGAAGACTTCTATACAAGTATCCAAGTGATGCAGATCAGGAAGATTGCAGATACCACTTCATATGTGGAAATCGTCAGCTTCTATTGCCAATGGATTGTCTGTAAGTCTGAGAGGTTAGAAGTTAGAAAATGAAGGAAGTAATTAATAGTCGACATTCAAGTCAGACATTGGCCTTTAATAATAGAGTCCCCAAATTCTCTTTTAAAATATGTGAAAAGGACCCTGTGTGGCTCAGTTGGTGAGCATTGTCCCATGGACCAAAAGGTCACAGGTTCTATGCCTGGTCAGGGCACATGCCTGGGTTGCCCGCTTGATCCCCAGTAGGGGGCGTTCAAGAGATGTTCAGTAGGGCGTTCAGTAGGGCGTTCAGTAGGAGTCAGCCAAGAGATGTTTCTCTCTTCCTCTTCTCTGTCTAAAATCAGTAAAAACATATTTAAAAATATATACATGTGTGTGAAAAGGTCCTCTCTGTTTTAGTGAGAAAACTTGCCAATTTATAGACCTAAAATGTATATTCCTAAGGGATCTTCGGGGCTGTATCTGAGAACCAACAAAGGGGAATTGAAAGTCTGCCACAATTAGCCTAACCCTAGGCAGCTCTTTAAAATCACAGCTTATTTGAATGAGAGAGGCAATGTATTTTCAGAGTCTGGTGACAACTAGAACATTTACTAGAGTTTTTGACGGTGAGAACAGACTGTCGAGTTTTTTGCAATCTGAGTAGCAAGTGTTCACTTAATGAATTGAGGACAGCCATGTACATTTTTTAATAATCTAGGAAGCATGATGCTTTCTGTTGTATTTATCCTCAAGAGAGAAAGGGAATATCAATATTTTTATGTTCATTTATGTACATGTTTTAATGTTTAGCTTTTCGTCTGAAAACGAACATATAGTTCTTAAGATTTTCTTAAGTATTTATTCACCAATAAATACTTGAGTGTCTACCACAAATCAGACAGTTCTAGACACTAAAGGAAACAAGTTCAATCAGGCATAGATTCTGTCAGAATGTTTGAAAGACCACTAAGTAGATAAGATACGTATGTAAACCAAATACAAAATAGAAAGCAAAGACAACAGTTTCAAGAGAAGTAAGGACTATCTCTGAGGAACTTAAAGGAGGGAAAGTCTGCTTCCAGCTGGAAGGGGTTAACAGAAGACTTTATGAAAAAGATGGCTTTTGAATTAGCCTTGAAGGGTAGTAATAATAAAATCTATTACTTTTTGATCATTTATTATGTGCTAGGCCTATTATGTATGTTATTTTCTAATCCTCACAACAACTTCAAGCAAGGTATCATTACCCCTCTTTTAGAAATGAGAGAACTTAAGATTAGGAGAGTTAAAATAACTTGTGTACTGTTAGTAAATGGTAGAACTGGGATTGCTGTTCAAGTTTTCCTTCTTAGATGGTA